ATGCAGAATGATTTTGCTTCAGTTCCCGAAGCAGGTTATATAATTAACTCTGAAAACGTGGTTCATCGTCAGACGTCAACACCAAAATTAGAGGAAGCAAGTGCTAGCGTTCGTGCAAAAATACCTTCATCTACGAACATTGTGAATGAACTTGACAAAACAATTCAAGAATTAACAATACAAAACAAAATATTGGAACGAGATTTGTTGGCGAAACAACACGAGCTTCTTGTAGCCAAGAAAACATCCGGTGGTGAAACAAAGACTTTATATTCAGGAACTAAAGCGAAGGACAATGGTTAAAAAGTTAAAACATTAAAGCTCCCATCGCTGAATGAGTTACGGGATAGAGATAAAGTCGAAAAACAGGCTAAAGAGCTTACTCGGCAGCTTCTTAATCAATCTTAGTCTTCTTCCGATGATTCTGATTCTTCAAGTGACAACGACGAGGATAAGGACCAAGCCCAAATCAAAGGTAATGATTTACCATATTTAATTTTCAAAGACAAACAAAAACGCACAGAAGTTTCCGGTGAAGCAAGGGCCGCTAAGGATCGAGTAAAATATGATGTGCCATGGCCACATTAGCATGCACAAACTAAATCAGTAAACTATTCTGATAAAGACTTCGGACTAGCACAGCTAGTCAGAGGCGAAACATTCATTATGCATAACATTGAAAAACAAGCCATTTCTGTGCTCAGACAAAAGCATTTGATAAATCTGCTTTATCTCGCCGAAAAATACCCCTTTACCGAGATAAAGGAATTTCATGCCGAAGTTTTGCGTTCGGTGGAAAGGGGTCACAAAAATTGGTCTCATGCATTTGAAGAAGAACAAGGCCGTACTCTCGTCACCCCCTCACATCTTCTTCATCTACACTGACCAAGGCAGTTCTCAAGGATAAGGTTAATCGCAATCCAATTTGTGGCGCCTATCAAGCGGGAAACTGTAGTCGTTTTTGGAGCCTATGTGGACAAAAAGCTATTGCATGTTTGCAGGAAGTGCGTCCGTAAAGGAAAAGACTCAATAGATTCGTATGTTCTACATCCATCGAAAGATTGTCCGCATCATGAATGATGTTCAACTTCAGTGCTACATTGTGAATCTACTAAAATGAGCAATAATTGTATTAATCAACATAATTTTGTAATACCCCCTGTTGTGTCAGGTGTGAACTATTATGAATTTACTAATACTATTCAAAAAGAGAAATCATATTCCCCTGCAATTGTGGGCGTGTTATTGTGTGATAATTCCGAACATGATGTTATAATATTGTGAACCCCCCCTACAATGCCAGGTGTGAGTGCTTCCCCTGATTACTCAGGTGTGTATAATGAATTAACCATGTTTAAAGAGAAATCATATTCCCCTGCAAATGTGAGCGTGTTATTGTGTGATTATTCACAAAATTCATTTGGAATATCCTCTGCAAATGAGGAAGGTGTGTTTAGTAATATTTGTGATTTTTCATCCTGAACATCTATAGGCGAGTGACAGTCAAATTCCGCTAGTTTAGATTTAACAGGCGTTTCTTATTGTGGTAATGCTTGTATTGAAAAAAATTCCCATGTGTTTACAGGTGTGTCTATTTATGAAAATGATTCATATTTATTGCAACCTTAAAGTTTATTATGTAGCACTGATTTTGACACCGTTGTCAAAGATAACAATCACACGAATTACAATGTTGTTGATGAAACCAATAATGTACTTTTAGCTTCAAGTATTTGTCCTTGGTTTACGAAAACAGCAGAGTCTATTGATTTTGAGTATTCACCAGATATGAGTGGAAATATTTTGAAAAATGTGTCGATCAGATTTTGTGAAATGGATATGAATAATTTTTCACATGTTCATGAAGCCGTTTTTTACAGAGGCAAGTCGAATTTTGCGTATTGTAAAATTCCAGTACGTTCTAATTCTAACATACAATTGTGGGAACAACTGTTGGAAGATTATCATGATAAAATAGTGGTTGAATTTTTGAAGTACGGATGGCCGTTAAACTATGTCAAAGATGTACTGCCCGATCCCCCCACACGTCGACAAAATCATCTTTCTCGGTTTTCAAGTTTTATTGATTCCTACATTTCCAAAGAATTAGACCTTGGAGCTATTTACGGTCCTTTCCGAAAGAACCCCCTTTGTTGTCATTTAACTTTATCACCATTATTCAGGGTTCCTAAGGGAGAGTCCAACAGGAGAGTAATTGTTGACTGTTCGCATGGCAACACTTTGTCTATTAATGAAGGAATCCGTTCGGACACTTGAATGAAAATTTTAAACTTTATTATCCTAGACATGAAGAATTTATCGCTTTGCTCTTAAATCACGGTCGTGGGTGTGCCATGTGGAAATTGGATTTGTCCCGGGCCTTCCGCCAACTAGTATTAGATCCGCACGACTTGCATTTACAAGGCTATGAATGGAGGGGACAAATTTTTATTGACAACCGTCTTATTTTTGGTATGCGCTCTTCACCACAGGCCTGTCAACGGACAACGAATGCTGTTTCCTATATGTTATGGAAATCTAACATCCATAAAATTAACTATGTTGATGATTTTGGTAGTGTTAGTGACAATCAGAACGCTGAACATGACTATAATTTTGTTTTAGAATTGTTTCAGAGGTTAGGATTAGAGGTCAGCAAAGAAAAGTGTTTGCCGCCGACAAAAGATTTGACATTTCTCGGCAATGAGTATAACTCAATTGACATGACAGTTCGAATTCCAGAGACTAAATTACAAGAGACTTATGAGCTGTTACAAAGATTTGCCAGGAAAAAAACATTGCACTAAACGTCAGTTACAACAAGTTATTGGCAAGTTAGCTTTTATATTTCCGAATGCGTCCGAAGCGGAAGACTTTTTATTTCACGCATGTTGCAGACATTATACGAAAATATCATTTCAATCATTATCGTGTTCAAATCACAGATCATGAATTTAGACAAGACATTAGGTGGTGGTTATTATTTTTACATGTCAGACTATAATGGAATTAGTATTATTCCTGATGTAGATTGGTCTTCACCAGACGCAATTATTTCCTCTGACGCTTGTCTCAAGGGTATTGGTGGTGTCAACTTCACGACATTTGAATATTTTCATTCGGACATACCGGAGTCTTTGCGGGACATGCACATATCTGTGCTTGAAATGTGTGCGATTTACATAGCAATTCAATTTTGGACATCCAGTATCTCATATAAACGTGTACAGCTGTTTTGCAACAATCAATGATGTGTCGAGATTTTAAATGGGGGATCAGGACGTAATCAGAAATGTTGAATTTGGCACGTCAAATGTGGTACTTATGTGCGACAAGTAATGTTCAATTGCGTGTGAGTTATATAGCATCTGTTGAAAATAGGTTTCAGATTTGCTATCCCGTTGGAATCCATCGGAGAAGAACAGATCACAGTTTTTCATAAAATCTAAGATGTACAATTTAGATTTTGTCGAGAAAGAAGTGTTTAGTCACATGTTTAATGATATCATTAATATCTAGGTGGTCATACATGATACATTTATACTATTTTAGCGCATAATTGGTGATAAGAGTAACTTTGATAATTAATATGGCATTGTTGTTTATCTAATTACTGTTATCTTGTGACTTCCAGGTCTTAAGTTAAGAAGAGCAGTTTTACAGAAAGAGGCAAGCTTGCTAAGGGTGCAGCCTTTCGGCCTGGTACTTATTCTAATCTGAAGAGTCAACTCAATGCATGCCATATTTTTTGTGTGTTTTATAAATTTCGACCATTTTCTTGTATTAAGGATACCTTGTGTGCTAACGCATGTTTTCTATCCAAGAGTTTACGCAGTTTTTCTTCTGTAAAGAATTATATTTCTGTCATTAAGACCTGGAGTCCACTGTTTGGTTATACTGTGGAACCTTTTTTATCTACAGATTTGAAATTGACTTTAAGGGGATTAAGCCATAAGAATCAGCATGTGATTGTGTCAAAATTGCCATTGTTACCGACACATTTAATTGATATTGTTAGGTTGTTGAATATTTATGATTATGTAGATGCTTGTTTATGGTGTTTTTTAACGTTTGTTTTTTTTGGTATGCTTAGGGCGTCAAATCTGGTCAGCAGAAGTTCTGCTTCTTTTAATTCCCGTGAACAATTGATCAGGAAGAATGTTGTTGTTAGTGATAGGGGTGTCCTTCTTTTATTGAAATGGTCAAAGACTAGACAAGATCATGATTACACACATCAGGTTTCTCTATGTTGCTCAGTCGAGCCATTAATATGTCCTGTTCGAGCTTACAGACATCTCGTTTCAGAGAGTTAATTGTTCTTCTTGGTTTAGACCCTTCACTTTATTCTTTTCATTCCTTGAGGCACGGAGGGGCTACATTAGCCACCAAGGCTGGAATTCCTGAGATTTTATTGAAACATCATGGAGACTGGCGATCTGACTGTTTCCAGACTTACATTAAACAGGCCAGTGTTGATATGTATCGAGTTACTTCAGCCATGAATTATTTGATCGGTAGTCAGTTTTAGGGTATGTGCGCCGGTGTATTATTATATGTTTGAATTTTTTGTATTTTGTATTTTATATTTTTTTCCCTCGGTTTGGCGACTTCGTTTTGGGTTCAGGTGCTTCATATTGACACTTTGTTCATTGTAGCTTATTGATACCATGTTTGGTATAACTATATTTGATTGCATTATTATAATAAAGCACACCTTTCGCCAAACACTATTAGTTGTCAATTGTGTTTCTTTTTTAAGAAATCAATCTAAAATAACTTTCTGTATTCAATCACAGTTAATTGACTTTTATTCAAAATTTATATTTTTAATTAACGTATAAATAAATCAATGAAAACCAATCAATCAGTTTGTATTTTTTTTGTATGGGTTCACTTTCTAAAATCTATATGAGTATCACAATTCAATTAATATGCGGAGCGTTATGTGCCCTGACTTTAAATATTAAAATCATGTGACATCTTTCTTTTGTGTAGACATATTACCACCATTGCAGATTATATGTTGTTAATTCCGATTGAGGTACGTATTTTATTTCATTGGTTTCCTGTAGGGTTAAATACATTATACAATTAACATTACAAAAAAATCACAGACACATGCACACACTCACACACACGCACAAACACCAATATCTTGAGTTTGTTTACTAAAATTGTTGATTTTTTATCAACTTTCGTTTTGTGTCTTTCATAAGATATGTTTGAACATATTGAATGTTTTATCATTTGTACCTATTACATACAATTCTGGTTACCCTAATTTCTCTCACTTGATTTCTTTTTAGTTTACGGTAATATTAACATTGCACTAAAATAGTACAAAAAAATGCTACGAATTTCATAATTCGTTGTCGTGGAATAAATTTGTGATAACGAATCGGAGAAATTAGTTATTGAAAATAAACTCATCATAGAAACCAGGATTGAAATTTTGTACGCCAGACGCGCGTTTTGTCTTAAAAACACTCATCAGTGACGATGGAATCAAAAAAGTTAAAAAAAAAAAAGGCCAAACAAAGTACGAAGTTGAAGAGCATCGAGGACCCCAAATTCATAAAATTTTTGCCATTATAGCTAAGGTAAGCATGGTAAGTCGTTGTCAAGGATCAAATTCGTCATCACGGATTAAATTCGCTATAAAAAAAATCGTGATCACACATTGTTTAGGTAACTTTTTACAACGAATTGTAACTCGTTATTTCAGATTAAATTCGTTATCACGGATTAAATTCGTTATACCGATCGAATCAGTCGAAATTATTTTTCACAGATTTTTGTAATTTGTGATCACGAATCAAATGTTATCACAGATTTTCTATAAATCGTGATTAAGAATTTAATTCATTTTGAAGAATTATGGGATTTATAACAAATTCAATCCAATATCACAAATTACAAAAACATGCAATATTTAATTCCACATTTTCAATGAATTTGTTTATCACGAATTTAATCCGTGAAAACGAATTATAATTGCTTTTACCGAAAATTACATTCATGAAAACGATTTTTTAAATTTGTGATATCGAATTCACAATATATTATTGGGAGATCTGTTATAACTCACTTGATCCGTAATATCGAATAACACAAACTGCAATAATTAACAAACAAATTTAATCTCTGATGACGAATTGTTTTTCGGTGTAACTATTTATAGATTTCGTGATAATGATTGTAATCCGCGATTTTTTTTTCAATTTAGAACCTCTAATTTGAATTATATTTTTGGGATATCCTAAATGGGTTTCCTGTGACCTAGACAAGCAAATAGGCAAACGTATGTGACCTGTGACCTGTAACCTTTATCTCACGCTTCATTAATTTACGTCAAGTGGGAATATTATTTCAACGTTATAATCTAACTTATCAGTAGCTTTAAGAAAATAAAACGATCGTGTAACCATGCGTAGACATGTGTCTTGTGAAGACAGTCATCATAAGGACAAAAGAAGGTAATTCCATTGACTTAAATTTACAAAAAGTTCGAATCTCGGTATAACTATCAAAATAAAATAAAAAAAAGAACCGATAATTATTTGGGATAATTTGTATCATGTTTGGATGAATTGTAACTAAATATAAGTCACGGTTCATTGAAGTCAGCTACGTTTAACGTTTAGCGTTCAATATAAAGTCTTTGTAACTATAAGAAAAAACAATCAGCAAAGCCTTGTAGAGATATATATTCTAGAGTTCAGCAAATGTGTATTTAGTCTGGGAAACCATGATTCATTTACTAGTTGTGATTGGCTTTGAACTAGCTTTCAGTAACGGCTATTTCTCTTAGATCAGTACTTTGTGATTTTTAACGGATTTTCGAAGTAAAAATCGGTTATTGATTAGGCGATGTACGTCGGGCAGGCGGGCGGGAGGGCGGCTGCCAAACAGTGTCCGTTAATTTAAATGAAAACGCTTTGAAGAAATTTTTTTCAAATTTAGATATGTTGTTTCCTGTTACTAAATGAAGGTCAAGTTCAATTTTCACGATTTTAGCTTTTCTCGTTAGTCAGTTATAGCCCTTTTCCAAGAATTCAATTTTTGATGAATTAATCCATTTCTGTACGAAGCGAAATAACTCATGCATTCTTAAAAAGATTTTTAAAAGACATTGTATTAATGATAAATGACATTTTGGATTTTTTTTCTTTTCTTTGGTAAATTGTTTGAACAATTTTGTGGTAGGTTTGTTTGTTATTCTGTATAAACTAATTGTCTGAGTGTGTGTTAATTTTAGTTTTTACTTGATCCTGTTCCAGATTTGCAAATTCGTTAAATAACAATCTATTTGTATTAAAGGATATATTTCATTACATTACATTGTGTAGATAAACTTGTAGAATTTCATAGATAAGTTTCAGATCTTTATTAGTTTGTTACAAATGAAAGAAAAAACATTGGGAACTATTAACTATGTATATAAAGTTTGATTACACTAAGTGTTTTTAAATGATTTTCAACTTTTATCAAGATAACACACCATCTGGTAATTGTCAATCACTCAAATATAATTGTAGTGACAGATTTATCTGAAAACTGTTAATTATATTAGATTATAATTTGAAAATAAATATAACATCATATCTAATTACATCATATCTAATTTTAGAGAACTAAAGTTAAATCAGATCTAATTCTAGATTTACATTATTGGTTCATGGAAATAAAGTTATTTCCCTTTGAACAGCAATGGTTTAACTAAGAAGTATTTCATCAAAAATTGAATTCTTGGGGTTCCTTGATATGCTGATTCTAGCAATGTACATAGATTTTGGATATTGGACCATAATAGGTAAATGTCCTTTTTTTTAATTTTTCAGTTCTTTGACCACATTTATTTTGTGTCACAAACCTATGCTGTATCAAATATTCAATCACAATCCAAATTCAGAGCTGTTTTAAGTTTAAATGTTGTGTCCATACTTGCTCAACTGTTCAGGGTTCGATCTCTGCAGGAAAATCCGGTTTGCTGTCACTCTGACAGCCTCTTGTTGTTGTTTAGTTAGTTGTTTCTTTTCTTTCAGAGTCATACACTGTCCATCTGATTTTTACAGTTTGTTCTTAATGAACACAGGCAAAATTTTCTCACGTCAATTTCATATGAATCTCACATGAAATTCACGTGAAAAATTTCACGTGAGATTCACCTCAAACGACCTTATACATGAAACTCACGTGAAAAAGTCAGAAGATTCGCCTCAAACGAGCTTATATATATACGTGAAACTCACGTGAAAATTTACATGAAACTCACGTGAAAATTTTCATGTAAATTTCACGTGAATTGAGATTCACATGAATTTCAAGTGCACTTTACAAAATAATGGTATTTTTCATGATTTTAATTAAATTTGAAAATTTAGATATTATTCGAATTACTTTATTTAAAAAACTCATACGAATTTCACGTGAAAAAAAATCATGTGATTTTCACATGAAATTCATGTGAGTTTCACATGAGATTCACGTGAAACTCTCATGAACCGATTTCATGTGAGTTTCACGTATAAGCTTATTGAGGTGAAATTCACGTGAATTTTACGTGAGATACACATGAATTTAAATTCACATGAAATTGAGGTGAGTGAAATTTCCCTGTATATATGCTGTTACACCACTGTCTCAGGTTAGGGAGGTGGTTGGGTGCTCGCAAACATATTTAAACCCGCTTAGCTGTATGTGCTTGTCCAAAGTCAGAAGCCTGCATTTCAGTGGTGTTCGTTGGTTGCTGTATATCATATTAGTTTTTCGTTTATTGTTTTATCATGAATTCAACTCTTGGTGTTTTCATTTGAATTGTTTTTCATGTTTTCCTATCAGAACTTTTTATAGCTGACTATACGGAATATATTTTGCTCATTGTTGACGACCGTACGTTGACTTATAGTGCTTGCATCTAAGTCATTTGGTCTTTGGTGGATAGTTGTCCATAAGCAATTATACCACATCTCCTTATTTTTAGAATGGTCGGAATGAGACGACCTTTGTAATCGGAGGTTAACTTTGTTTTGTTCTTAATTAAATTCTTCTTAAATAAGTCACAAGATTGGAGTGATTTCGTCAATCTAGGTAAATATTCCATGAAAGTATTAACTGTGTAAAAATCTCTCATCATATGAAGCTTTTTTACACAACGGGGGACTAAATTTGTCAAACAATGTTTGTTGCCTATAGTTTTAAAAAATAATTGTTTTGTAAGAAAAACGTATAGCAAAATGACTTATATTTCTTTTAAATTCTGTTTAATTTTCCCGATTTGAGATTTAACTTATACTTTTAACATCGCCCTAATGAAGTGAATGTTCGCTATTGGGTGTTTATTGGACTTATTTCAGAAGCATGTTTAAGGACTAATCTAATTTTCAAATTACATTTTATGTATTAATACATGCACTTTGTTATGTGTGTTACATATATGTTGCAGGATCATGGCCAGTAATTGGAGTAATTGTGGTGTCTGTGATTATCGTCATATATCCAAGCCATCAGTAGTCTGGTGTTCCCAATGCGATGAAGGACTATGTGGAGATTGTAACGAACATCATAGTATTTCCAAGGCATCACGAAACCATGAAACAGTTTCCATTACCGAATACAAGAAGTTACCGAAAGAGATTCTCCAAATCGCCACGGCCTGTAAAATACATAACGAGAAATACGAACTTTTCTGTAGAAAACACGATTGTCCGTGCTGTAAGAAATGTGTGAATTCTCACAACGATTGTAAAGGTTTAACCGACATTAATGAACTCATAAAAAACGTTAAAACCTCAAACGCCTTTTATGAAATCGTACAAACCCTGCTGGAAGTCGCTGAGAATATCAAACTAATCAAAACTAATCGGGAAGATAATTTAACATCGTTAGAAAAGCAAAAAAGAGAAATTGAAGAAGAAATAAAACAAACCAGGACAAAGATTAATTATCGTCTTGATTGTCTTCAGGATGATTTGTTGAAAGAACTAAAAGCAGCTGAACAAAAAGAGAACTGTAAAATACAGAAGTTGTTGACTGATCTAAAAATAAAGTAAAGAGAGATTACAGAATTCAAAGAAAACATTGATAATATTACACAGCATGCGTCAGAACTGCAAACCTTTTTGTCCATAAAACATTTCGAAAAAGAAATTTCCGATGACGAAATATCATTCAATCGATTATCAAAAGTGACGCCACAAACCAAGCCAATATTTCATGCCAATTTACCAAGTCTTTAGCACAAATCACAACCAGCGTACAGAAGTTTGGAGAAATTAATGTCAGTTCTGATCCATGCAGTTTGTCAATTCAGAACCGGAAGCAAAATCAAGCCCAGATTATGGTAGCTATTCCGACTAAAAATATTGATAACCTGACTCTGACGTTACAGAAAGGTTTCAATACAGAGTTCTCAAATGTCCGAGGTTGTTCAATGCTCCCTGACGGAAAGATGGTATTCTGTTCTTATGAACAATATAAAATAAAACTAGTCAAATCTGACGGATCAAAAGATTTCGAATTAAATACTAGTAATGTCGGACCTACGTTTGATGTGGTATTGATTGGTGATGATTGTATTGCTGTTACATCTGATGGTGCAAAACAGATTTATATAATCGACTTAAAGAACAAAAAACTGAAGAAATCAATAAAAGTTAGTTCAGCCAATGATGGAGCAGTATACAAAGACGGAAATTTGGTTTATTGTGCCAGAGAGAAAGGACTACAGATGATCAGTCTGAAAGGCGAAACCAATACCAATGTTTATAATACCAAACTCTCACAATATGCGTACATTACAACATTTGGTAACAAACTGTTCTACACAAACAGGGACAATGACAGTGTAACCTGTTGTGAATACCATGGTAACATACTGTGGACGTTCTGTGATAAAAGTGTTCTGAGTTCTCCACTCGGTATATCTGTAGACAATGATGGTAACGTGTTTGTAGTGGGACGTGATACTCACAATGTGATCGTCATCTCTCCTGATGGACAACGCTACAGACAACTTTTATCACGTGATGATGGACTGAATTACCCACAGGTTCTGCACTATGACACATCTACCAATAAATTGTTAGTGGCAAATTTCATGGAAATTGCGTTTTTGTATGATGTTAAATGATATGTTGTGATTTTTGCAATTTCGAGTACAAGAGTTAACAAAATGGTCCATTTAACAAACTTAGCTCCAAACTAACACCAATCCTTGGCTTTCAAATATTCGGTTTTGAGCGTTCATGATGAAGGTAAAATCCAGAAAAGCGCTTCGGACGCATGACATTTATAACGTGTTGTTTTTATTTTTAACCGGATTTTCGAAGGAAATATCGGTTATTAAAATGGTGATGTACGGCGGGTGGCTGGGCGGATCTCAGGCGGCTGCCAAACAATGTCAGCACAATAACATGAAAACGCTTTAACAATTTTTTTTCAAATTTAAATATGTTGTTTCCTGGGACTTAATGAAGGTCTAGTTCAATTTTCAAGATTTTATAGTATATCTCCTTTGTGAGTTATTTCCATTTTTAATTTCCAAAAGTGGAATATTTAAATATTTTACTCTTGTTATCTTTTTTTATGACTAAGCATAATGTCTTATCTCACAATAAAAATTGGAGTGACAGATTTATTTGAAAATTATCTATTTCCTAAGTGGTAATGATTATAAGCTATATAATATTATTAGACATTTTGAAGTTAATTACATTATTAATTATTAATTAGATCTGGGTTATATCTTAGCATATTATATCATTGGAGTGACAGATTTATTTGAAAATTTTCTGTTTCCTGATAAGATCTGTAGGACTGTATATATAAAGTTTGAAATTTACTAGAAGGACTGTATAAATGAAATTTGAAATTTACTGTTCATTATTAGACATTTTGCAGATAATTAAGTCTCCCTAAACCATATATATTCTTACCCCTACCCCCCTTCAATTTCAGAATGTGCTTTTATCTTGTAAATGGTTGAGATCCCCACCCCTAAACCATATATACTCTTGTATGGGACAAAAAAACAAATCTAATGAAATATTTGGGGAGTCCCCGGATTCACCAGCACCCCCTTCTTTTTGAAAACTTGTAAACGGTCAAGATCCCCACGCCGAAACCATATATCTTCTTGTATGGGACAAAAAAACAAATCAAATGAAATATAAGGTGAGTCCCCTGGGGTCACCCCACCCCCCTCCTGTTTAAGAACGTGTAAACGGTCGAGATCCCCACCCCTAAACCATATATATTCTTGTATGGGACAATAACACAAATCAAATGAAATATAGGGGAAGTCCATGGGGGTCACCCCCACCCCTCTTCTTTTTGAAAACTTGTAAACGGTCTAGATCCCAAACCCTGAAACCATATATATTCTTGTATGGGACAATAAAACAAATCATATGAAATATTGGGGAAGTCCATTGGGGTCACTCCACCCCCCTCCTGTTTAAGAACTTGTAAACGGTCGAGATCCCCACCCCTAAACCATATATATTCTTGTATGGGACAATAACACAAATCAAATGAAATATAGGGGAAGTCCATGGGGGTCACCCCCACCCCCTTCTTTTTGAAAACTTGTAAACGGTCAAGATCCCAAACCCTGAAACCATATATATTCTTGTATGGGACAATAAAACAAATCAAATGAAATATTGGGGAAGTCCCCTGGGGTCACCCCACCCCCCTTCTTTTTGATAACTTGTAAACGGTCTAGATCCACACCCCTAAACCATATATATTCTTGTACGAGACAATAACACAAATCAAATGAAATATAGGGAACGTCCATGGGGGTCACCCCCACCCCCCTTCTTTTTGAAAACTGATAAACGGTCAAAATCCCCACCCCAAAACCATATATATATTGTTGTATGGGACAATAAAACAAATCAAATGAAATAAAAGGCGAGTCCCCTGGGGTCACCCCACCCCATCCTGTTTAAGAACTTGTAGACGGTCGAGATCCCCACTCCTAAATCATATATATTCTTAAATGGGGCAATAAACCAAATCAAATTAAATATAGGGGAAGTCCATGGGGGTCACCCCCACCCCCCTTCTTTTTGATAACTTGTAAACATTCGAGATCCCCACCCCTAAACCATATATATTCTTGAATAGGACAATAAAACAAATCAAATGAAATTGAGAGGGAGTCCCCTGGGGTCACCCCCACCCCGTTTTTTTTTGTTGAAAACTTGTTAACGGTCAAGATCCCCATCCCGAAACCATATATATTCTTGTATGGGATAATTAAACAAATCAAATGAAATATAAGGCGAGTCCCCTGGGGTCACCCCCCACTCCCTCCTGTTTAAGAACTTGTAAACGGTCGAGATCCCCACCCCTAAACCATATATATTCTTGTATGGGACAATAACACAAATCAAATGAAATATAGGGGAAGTCCATAGGGGTCACCCCCCCCTCTTCTTTTTGAAAACTTGTAAATGGTCAAGATCCCCATCCTGAAACCATATATATTCTTGTATGGGAAACAAAACAAATCAAATGAAATAAAAGGTGAGTCCCCTGGGGTCACCCCCATCCCCTCCTGTTTAAGAACTTGTAAACGGTCGAGATCCCCATCCCGAAACCATATATATTCTTGTATGGGATAATTAAACAAATCAAATGAAATATAAGGCGAGTCCCCTGGGGTCACCCCCCACTCCCTCCTGTTTAAGAACTTGTAAACGGTCGAGATCCCCACCCCTAAACCATATATATTCTTGTATGGGACAATAACACAAATCAAATGAAATATAGGGGAAGTCCATAGGGGTCACCCCCCCCCCCCCCCCTCTTCTTTTTGAAAACTTGTAAATGGTCAAGATCCCCATCCTGAAACCATATATATTCTTGTATGGGAAACAAAACAAATCAAATGAAATAAAAGGTGAGTCCCCTGGGGTCACCCCCATCCCCTCCTGTTTAAGAACTTGTAAACGGTCGAGATCCCCACCCCTAAACCATATATATTCTTGTACGGGACAAAAAAACAAATCATATGAAATAAAGGGAGAGTCCCCTGGGGATCACCCCCTCCCCCTTTGAGAACTTGTAAACGGTCAAGATTTCCACCCCTAAACCATATAAATTCCTGTTCGTAATTTCAAGAAGATTTGAATGACATACAGGGTCAATCCATAGGCGTCACTAATGCATATCATAAACCAATGTGTACTGGACATTGCCCAATGTCAAGCGACAATGGGAATGACGAATTATTGGAGCTTTGTTTGGGAGACAATTGAGACTTCGTAACAGCATTCTGTTACAATTATTTCTTGTTACTGATAAGTTTTATAGATTTTGAAATGACATTGTATTAATGATCAATAAAATTTTGGATTTTTTCTTCTTTTCTTTGGTAAATTGTTTGTAGAATTGTGTGGCAAGTTTGTTTGTTATTCTGTGAAAACTAATTTGCTGAATGCTATATATTTTTTTTATGTAGTAAACTCCTTTAAAAACTAAGCTTATATTGTCTATTAATAAACATATATTTAGATTTCTGATTTTGGACCCAGTTTTCAAGTTGGTCCAAATTGGGGTCCAAAATTAAACTGTGTTTGATTTCAACATAAATTGAATATATATATAGGGTTCTTTGAAATGCTTAATCTAAACCTGTATTTCTTTTCATTATTAATAAGATAATACCACATTGAGGTCCAAAGGGTCCTAAATTACACTTTTGATTAATTTCAACAAAAATTGAATTCTTTGGTTCTTTGATATGCTGGTTCTAATAATGTTTGAGTGTTAAATCATATCTAATTTTAGAGAACTTAGTCATCACTGGTTGTTGTTATTATATTATTGATTATAATTTGAAAAATTGCATCATATCTTATTTTAGAGAACTATTTATCCAGTTTGAGTTATTTCCCTTTGCACAGAAAATATTATGGATAAAATTAACCTGTGTTTCATTTCAACATAAATTAAATATATATAGGGTTCTTTCAAATACTGAATCTAACCCTGTATTTAAATAGTAGATTTTTGAGCCAAGTTTTCAAGTTGGTCCAAATCAGGGTTCAAAATTAAACTTTGTTTGATTCAACAAAAAAATAATTTATGGGGTTCTTTGAAATGCTGAATCTAACCATGTATTGAGAGATTTTGGATTGTGGGCTCCTTTATCAAATTGGTCCACATTGAGGTCCAAAGGGTCTTAAATTAAACTTTTGTCTGATTTCATCAAAAATTGAATTCTTGGGGTTCTTTGATATGCTGATTCTAATATGTACTTAGATTTTTGATATTGGACCATAATAGGTATTTAAATGTCCAATTTCAAGTATTTCAGTTCTTAAACCACATTCATTTTGTGTCAAAAACCTATGCTGTGTCAAATATTCAATCACAATCCAAATTCAGAGCTGTTTTAAGCTTAAATGTAGTGTCCATACTTGCTCAACTGTTCAGGGTTCGACCTCTGCAGGAAAATCCGGTTTGCTGTCACTCTGACAGCCTCTTGCTTTTAAATGTTCTTAAAAATTGAAAATAGTATAGGATTATTATCATACCTGGAATAACTTCAACATGTGGTGTAAGCATTCTAGAAAACGTGTACATACATTTTTCTCACGAGCTATGAAATGATCACAATGACAATCAACACTATTTAAGCATAACAAAAAAATGTGATCCTTTGTAATTTTGAAAAGATAACAATTTTCCTTTTATATCTCCTCGTTTAAGATCCACTTTCTTATTTTGTTCGGATACAGAAATAAGAACGCACTCATTTTTAAACGACCGCAAAAAATTTTGCGGTCGTATATTGGTATCACGTCGTCGTCGTTGTCCGCGTCGTCCGAAGACATTTGGTTTCCGGACAATAACTTTAGTATTAGTAAATAGAAATCTATACAATTTAAACACAAGGTTTATAACCACAAAAGGAAGGTTCGGATTGATTTTGGGGGTTATGGTCCCAACAGTTTAGGAATTAGGGGCCAAAAAAGGGCCCAAATAAGCATTTTTCTAGTTTCCAGACAATAACTTTTGGAACGGTGTATGGATCTCTCTGAAATTATACCACAATTTTCCATACCACAAAGGGATGGTTAGGATTGGCTTTGGAGTGTTATGGCTCAAACCGTTTAGGAATTAGGGGCAAAAAAGTGAGAAAAAACAAGGGTGACCTGGTTAATGGACAATTATTTAGGTACAATGTTGTGTTTGAATCACCTCCCTTACACTGCTTTTAAATTATGTATAAAGAAATGTTGTATTGTCTTGAGGTGACTAGCTGTCAATTTATTTTTAGAAGTTACTATTTTTTATAATTTTAAAAATGCTGATTAAGGTATATTGATTTTAGCCATGATTATGTATGTCATTTTCTATTTTAAGACTTTTATGATGTTCAGGGTTGGACCTCTGCGGTCGTATCCAGCTGCGCTCGGCAAAGCAATTTATTATTTTTGTTTTAATTGCATATGATTGAAGTAAAACTGTAAAAATAAAGCCAGATATCATACTTGGTAGTTGTTAATGTTAATGTTTTGTAACGGTTAATGTTTTGTATGTTAATGCTATGAATGCAAGACATTGACCCTATATATGCTTCATTGATAAAATGGCACGATCTGTTTCATATACTAGTACATCGAAATGTAAAACATTTTTAATGCTGTGTTCATCAATAAAAAGACACTGTGGATAATGTCAATGAGACAACAATATTAGTTTACTGATGTTCAAATCTCTAAAATCCATTAACGCTCACACAATCATGATGGAAAAACATCCTGAGGGAATCGAATGAACTTCAATTAAAGTGCTATTGACAACATCAACAAGGTAAGTGTCTGCTATGCATGCATAACTAATAACTAGAGACCCTAAAGCGCCTATGTCGATCACCTGGTTCTTTGTGCATATTCAACAATGGCCATAAAATATAATTCATTACTAAAATCTCTTTCTTGTCGATTTTGTGTTTCTGATCATTTTGTCTGTTTACTTTCACTCTTTCTACTTTAGTTTTTGCCAAAAACACCAAAAGGATAAAAAAAAACATCATTCAAGGACAGTAACTCCTATAAGAAAAGGATTGACAATTTTGGCTTTGTTTATCGGTCTTACTGATCATTTTTACAAATTCTCTCTATATTCCATGAGTTTTTTTCGCGTAAAAAGGTGTGAAATTTATATGAAGTTAAAATAAATAATAGAACTATTTTATAAAGTTTTGATTTTTTTGTCGATTGACTGGTTGTTATTATTTACCCAACATCTCCTTTTAAACATATTCTAAAGTAACTGGTTTGGACATTTTTCTGCAAAAACAAAGGACCATTAGATTGTAAATTAACACAATGAAATCAACATGAAAAAACCTCAGTGATAAGTCTAATTCGGTTGGTCAAATTCGAGGAAAAAAGGACGGAATTGTGGTTACAACAATGGATCATGTCCGTCGTCATCTGTGAAACAGTCAACCAACTCTTGATAGCGATCTTAAAATTTTCGAAGGGATGCTTTCAACTTCACCACTTTGAACTCTTGGTTTTATAGCTTCCTTGTAAGTAGCAACCTCATTCAAGGTAATCATGATGGGAAATGCAAGTTCTGAAATATTGTATCAACTGGGAGATATATACTCCATATGCAGGTTCTACTGGAATGTTGCTACATAGAAATTGAAAATTCACAACTGGGAAACTGAAATCATCTATTATATAGTAAAGTTTTGTTCTCAACCGACCAAGTAAATTGCTATTGATGAATTTTTAATGACAGAAATGGTATCTTTTTCACGATAACGCGTCAGCTTCCGTGGGTTTCGCCCCCTACCCGGAGGTCCTCTGCCCTGGAGCCGCTGAGGGCGGCCTTCAGACCACTCGCCGAGGTTCATGAGTACACTTAGAAATGGCTTTTCTACGCCACTGCAAGCTCATTGGCAAAAACGCAACAAAATTGGTAATTGGTCAGCTATATTTCTTATAAAAAGTTTACTGCCGATTTTGACATATCTTGTCTTGTAGATAATTTTTTGCAATTTTAAATGTCTTTCTATTTATGAAAGTAATAAAGATAAAGGGCAAAAAAGGCAAAAAATGGTAAAAAGAGCTTACACGCTCAAATGGGTCGACTGCTTTACTGATCACGATGGATTTTATATTGAAAATATTTTAAATACAAGTTTTACTACAAATATCACATAAAGTATCATTATCAATGATCTGTGTAAATCAGGTCTAGGTCAGATTAACCTTGCTAGACCAGTGCACCTTATAATTATTCCATTCGCCAAAAAAAAAAATAACCTTTTGCTTATAGAACGCCTACCTTACCACGAAACTTGACATTGACCAACTAACTGTTAAAAGGAGGTCAAGGTCATATAATATTTGCCAGACAGACTTGTGAAACTTACATTCATTCCATTCATCAGATACAGTTGGGCTATTGATTAAAGTATCAAAGAAACTGATGTTACTAGGTAAACATAATATTTGACCAACGAACCATGCATATGAGGTCAAAGTCAAACAAACCCTGCCAGACAGATATGTACACATTACGATCATTCCATACATCAATATAGGTGACGTAATGCATATATATATAGAAAGGACCAAATTACGGAATGAACCATGAAAATAAGGTCAGGGTCAGATGACACCTGCCAGTCTAACATGTACACCTTACAATTATGCATTACACCAAATAATGTTTACCTACTGCTTAGAAATGGACATAATCACATAACTTTAACCTTGATCAATGATCCATGAAACGAGGTCGACGACAGGTGAATCATGTCAAACGGACATATAGACCTTGCTAGAATTCCATAGACCAAATATTACTATATCAAAACCAGGAGATGTGGTATGATTGCCAATTTTGCAACTATCCACAAGAGTTCAAATGATAAATATGAAAAACAATTATAGGTCATTGTACAGCCTTCAACTATGAAAAATACAAATGCCGTATAGTCGGCTATAAAAGGCCCCGACATGAAAAATGTGAAACAATTCAAACGAGAAAACTGACGGCATAATTTATACTATACAATTTATTAACAATAAATGTGACCCACATGAACCAAGGGCAACCACTGAATTACAGGCTGTGGACTTGATGCAGACACATACATAGTGTGGCGGGGTTAAACACATGTGTTTGCGCTCAACACTCCCCTTACCTGGGACAGTGGCGTTACAGCACAATATAAGATAAAACTAAAAGCACAAATATTGCACCAACTAACATACAAACAATAGAAAAAAGCACCGATCTAAGAGTACTCGCAGTCACTGAAATTTAATTCAAAGCCAATTACAACAAATTAATAAATCATGTTTTCCGAGACAAAGACAAAAGTATCAATCAGTACATATCGAAGGATTTAGTGTATGGATGTCAAATAGTATGACCTTGTGCAATGCCAAAATATAAGTAAACAATTTAAAGATATACGCGGAGACAAGTAAACGGTTATTTCCGACAGTAAAACTACCGATGGACGTCCGCAAAGCTTCAAATACAATACAGTTATCTCTATTCTAATGCAAAATAAACAAATCATTCAATTTTAGTCATTATTATAGTGTAAATTTTCATTAAACGAAAATTCCGCGAAATGGTGTTATCTTCTTTGGCGCCGAAACTAGGTGACGTCATAAGTATGCTTCCGGCATCAAACGTAAACACCGGGTGTTTTCTGGCTTCTTGTCCGCTTCAGAATGTAATAAAATTTGATAAAAAGAAGATTTCTAGGTGCAAAATATGAGTTTTTTGGCTAATTATTGGAGAAATTACATGTCAATACATTCCGGAATTCAAAATGTCGGCTTCCTTAGTTTTACGCTTATTGTCATCCAATCAGAACCATTGATACAAAATAATTGCATTAGAATATCGACTGGATGTAGGATCATGAGTTCTCATAACTATATATATATATATATATATAGGGGAAAAAAATAAGGCTGAAAATGCACCAAATATTTATATTCAATATGAATATTCACATTTTGTCTATTACAACTTCAAATTGTTCAAAAATGTTCTCCATAGTATCCTACCGGTTTCACTGTTTAACAGATCTTCAAGGATATGGTTGCTGGCGACGTCGTCAGAGGTAACGTTTATTAGCGACATTATTATTGAGTCCTCAACGTCATAATATAGCACAACGTAGGTACTTAAAACGAAAGTAAAAGTACTGTAAATTCAGAAATTATTGCGATGTTTTTATTATTGCGAAAAATGCGACAGGGTTATAATCGCAATAATTTTAACTCGCATTTTGAAATTTTTTATATGAATTAAACAGGATTTTTCTTGATATCGTAAAAATTAAAATCGCATTTTAGTCTAAAATGACAAAATCGCAATAATAAATGCACGCAATAATTTCTGAATTTACAGTACATAATTATAAAGAAATGCCTGCCAGATTCTCATTTCATCTATTTAATTTAGGACGGTATTTCTTAATAAAATAATTTTCTTTATTAATTCTCATTGGTTTCGTTGTATTATCTGAACACTGATAAAATGGAAAAATGAAGAAATTTGGATGATTTGATCCAGCGCATCTCAGTATCAATATGTTCGCTAAGTGGGATTTTTCTAGTGCTCGGGACTTGAATTTGCTGTCTATGTACTGTCATTCGTTTTCTAATGGTATTGCCGGTTTGTCCAATATAATTTTCTTGACAACCACTGCAAGTGATGATGTATAGAATATTTTCCGATGCACATGTAAAACTGTTCTTGATTTTAAAAATGTGTCCTGATTTAAAAACGAATTCTGTTCCTTCGGATAAGTATAAACAAGATTCACAGTTTGGTCGTCCACATTTTTGTACCTTTGGTTGACTATTTTCAGTTTGGAATGTTGCGCGGGTCAACAATTTTTTTAAAGATTTCGGTTGCCGTTTGCTTTTAATTACTTTGTGTGAATTAAATAATTTCAACATCCTCTGGTCGCTCTGTAAAAATGGTAAATAGTTATGTATAGTGTTAAAAGCTTCATTATTTCTGGGGTTGTGAGTAGAAATGTACGGTAAAACGTTTTCTTTTAAATGTGATTTAGTTTTCCGTAATTCCTGTAAGCTAAAAGATTTGGCTCTAGTTATTCCGTCATCAATTATTCTCTTCGGATATTTTCGGTCCAAGAGCATGTATCTTAATTTATTTAATCTTGTGTGCCTTAATTCTGGATTTGAAATGATAGTACATATGTTATATTAAAATTTTGTCTTTGGCAATTCATAATTTTACTATAACAACTTTGCCGACAAATTTTAATATAACAGACCAAAACTTAAGTGAAAATTATTCAATTTTTACAATTCGAGTTAAAGTATTTTGAAGTTTAAATTTTTATTTTATTTCTAAAATTTCTCCTTATGTAAGTTACATTATTTTTGGAATGTTAATTTTTGATAAAGAAGAATGACATACAACTTGAATATTTAGATTACGTAATTAAGACGGATAACAAAGAGACATGTA